AAAAGAATTGAAATTAGAAACAGAAATAGCACCAGAAGTAGTATTGACTACAGTAACCGGTGAAACAAGTAAAACAAATAGAAAAGTTTTATTCGAATTAGAGATAGGTAAAGAATTGGTAGAAGTTCAGTTTTATGTCGCTACATTTAAACACCCTATCATTTTAGGAAGACCATTTACAAAGATACACGAGAAGGATATCGTGAATGATACAGTATTTGGAGTGAAAAATTGTGAAAAAGAAGTAAATTCACAAACGATAGAATATGTTGATTCTAATCAGTTTTTAAGAGATATCAGANCAAAAGAGGCAGATATAGGAATGTTTTACATTACGGAAGAAACTCCAGAGCGTGGTAGAGAAACGCCCGAGTTTATAAAAGCTGAGTTTAGTGATGTAGTTACAAACAAGAAACTAGAAAAAGTATCAGAGTTTAAAAAGGTAACTCATAAAATACACCTTATTCCAGGAACAAAACCTAAGGCCAGACCACCCTATAGGATGTCACAATTTGACATAGAAGAGCTTAAGAAGCAAATTGAAGAATTGTTGGATAAAGGATTTATACAAAAATCCAATTCACCATTTGCAGCTCCTGTTTTATTCAATAAAAAGAAAGATAAAACATTACGATTATGTGTCGATTTTAGATTATTGAATATGAATACCATAAAAAATGCATTTCCTATACCAATAATAGAAGATTTATTTATGAAAATAGGAAACGCTAAAGTATTTTCAAAATTAGATTTAACATCAGGATATTTTCAAATTAGAATGGATCCAAAAGATGAAGAAAAAACAGGGGTTATTACACCTTTTGGGCACTACGAATGGAAAGTAATGCCATTCGGAGTAGTAAATGGCCCTGCTACATTTCAATCGTTCATGAATGAAATATTAGGAAATACACAGAATGTATTAGTTTATCTTGATGACATATTAATTTATAGTCACACCGAAGATGAACATGAAAGAGATATAAGAAGAGTATTACAAGTTTTGCGTGAGAATAAATTGATTGCAAAAAAGAAGAAGTGTGAATTCTTTAAGAATACTCTAGAGTTCTTAGGACATACAATCACACCAAATGGAATTATACCAATGATGCAAAGATAAAAGCAATAATAGATTGGCCAAAACCAATGAATGCTAAAGATGCAATGAAATTCATGGGGTTATGCAACTATTATAGGAAATTTGTACAGGGATTCTCCAGAATAAGTTCACCAATTAATGAATTTATGGCTGAACATTGCCAATGGGGAGAAACACAAGATGAAGCTATACAAAGAGCTCAAAACAAAGAAATAATTGGCATTGCAGGTTATGACAAACTGACTCAAAAATTTGATATATATTGGCTGGACTGCCACCCAGGCCATTCAAGTTCATTAACAAAGAAAATGTTTTTCCATTATGTACCTGAAATTCAAAGGAATTCATTACTTGCAAATTTGCGTGTCTGGTATCCTGATTTAGTTTGAATCGGGACGATTCAAAAAGAACGGGGGGAGAGTGTAAGAGATCACATCTACATATACTTAGTGTATATGTATAGTGTTGCAAAACTTGGTGTATAAATAGAGTAGATTATTCCTGAAATCTCAGAAGAGAGATTAAGGAAATTAGGAACTAATTATAGGTAGTTAAAGTTAGTTAGTTAGCTAAGAGTAAAGTAAGTGAGTTCTATTTGGTCTATTAGAACATATATATAATATACAGATTATAAGNATAAGTAATTACCTTATTAGAACCCAGTTTCCTTACACAAGGCATTGAAACATAATTATTCATATATTCCTTACGGTAGCAGGTTGCAAATGCTTCATGTTTCAAGAATACTTCACAATGTATTTTCAAAGTGAAATATAACTAGACTAATTTAATCCTCAATCATTTCTAGCAAAAAATTTTCAATTAGGAGTTTATTGAAGTGATTCGTAGCTGATTATTGACTTGAAAATAATTGCGTTAATTCGAAGATATTGGTCAAATAAAACATATATCAACTAATTTAAACCAGTAACAATTTCACCAAAAATGATAGTATCATAATATCAGTAACTGAAGCCAGAATAAAAATGTATACGGATTCTCTTCAAGAGACTATTGAAGCATGGTGGATTGAGCATAAGGCAATGAGAAGAAAAGAAAGAGAACTTCAGCGGAATGAAAGAAGGAGAGAGTTGGAATTGCAAAAAAGGAAACATTAGAGAGAGAAGCTAAGTTGTTTCTTCAGCATATCAAGGTTACTTATTCAGGTAACAGAAACTCCTATAGAATTAAATGTTTTGCAAAGGAAATTCTTTAATTGCAGAAAACTTCGAATTGGACGATCGGCAGCTTATCATCATAGTAAGAAGAAATATTACAGGAAAGGCCAAGATGTGGTTTAATGAACATACGGCTCGTGAAAAAAAGTCAATTTGAGACCTTCCATCAATTTATTCGAGCTTTTGAACAACAATTTAGTGAAATATATGACATACACGCTCAGTTTACAAAATTATTGAATTTACGTCAATTGGAAAAATTAATACATTCAACACATATTCTTAACCTAAGACAATTGAACTGCACGCCTACGGCAGTTTAAAATAATATAGGCCAATTAATATATAATATATTCCTTGGCTGTTACTCCGAAATCTCTAATACAACCTCCAAAGATATATTTTTTAAATATATTCCTTGAATACCATGGAATGAATACCATAAAATTTATCACTCGCGGAGGAGTCTAGGTTCAATATCTAAAATTAAAAAATTATAAGAAAGGAAGATTGAAAAGTGAACAGAACACAAGTATACAAATATTTCCTCAATTGCTGAAAAGGAATCTTGAAGAATGATGTGTAGATAGGGTATTGATTTGCTAAATTAGGATGTAGATATTGGTAATAAGTATATGCAGTACTCAAATATTTTGATTATTCGAACAACAGATGTACATAATGCTGAATTAGTTGTATTTGATTATCTAACAAAGCACAGTTTCCTTAGTATATACTCAAGAATGAGTACAGAATCAGAAGCTTTGATGTACTTTGACGATAAAGTAATCAATGAATTCGAGGGAGTTGGAAGCGAAAGCTTAATACAGTTATTGCAAGCTCCCGATCAAACAAGCCAAGATGCTGAAAATATCATATCACAAATTTTCACAGAGCTTCTATTAGTGTACGAAGAAGAAAGGATAACGTTAGAAGCCATCATACAATTTTTGTCTTTGGCAATTAAAGATGAATTCATAGCTGTAATATTTTGTCAAGTGTTCGACGTTTTCCCGTTGTCAGTTTCTTTGCAAAAGCTTTTACTGGAAATTTTTCAGCGCCAGAATATAATCAAAGCGTCAACGTTTTCAAAAATGATAGGTTATGACTCGATAATGAAACTGTCTATCGTTCCTACGGATACATTGATGAAGCAATTGAATACACACAAAAGAGATGAATTTTATACGCAGAAGAAATATAATTTAATCCATGAAGAATCAGAAGGATATGCCAAATTGATGGTAGAAATTTACAATATTTTGAAATACAACGACACCTCGTATCAAGTTGACTATGCCCTCCGTATAATCGAGGAATTGACTGGGCATTATAATTTGGATCCGAATCGTACTCTTGATATTTTGATTGAATTGTATAGTAATAACTTTGTTGGGAATCAAGACTTTGCTATAGAATTATTAAAAAAATCCCAATGGTGGCCTTCAGAAGAGAGCGATTGTTTTTCATCCATGGAGAACCTTTCTCAAGGTGGTAATGAAACTGCTGCTAAGATTATTGGCTTGAGAATTCTGAAACAACCATTAGACAAGGACTTACCCGAAACCCTTAAAATTTTGTTTGCTTGCTTAATTAAGGAAGGCTTTGTAAGTTTTGGATCGATTTATAAATATGTAACCCCTGGTGATGAAGAAATGAAAGCATTGGAGGCCGATTATAAAAAACACTTGAACGAAAAAGTTTTCAAGGCAAGTGCAAGTGCACTCGCATTAGCATCTCCATTACAAGATGACGAGGAAGATGAACATACATCTAAAGACAAGAAGCCATCATCCCAAGGTAACCTAAAACAAAAGGAGGGCACTATGCAGTCAAAATTAAATTCTAATCTTAGATTCCAGCTACTACGTGTGTTTTTAGGTAACGGCTTATATTGGCCTTCGATTTATATTTTGACCGAATACCCTTTTTTGGCATATGTTGACGACGAAATAAATGAATTAATAAACCGTTTATTCAGCTCAATGCTAGCACCATTATATGATTCTATAAAGGTGTTTTCTGACGAAGAATTTGATAAGTTACAAACATCAAAACAAGTTGCTTTTTCGAGACCATTTAACAATGTTCGTTATGAAGAGTCCCCCTGTACGGAATTATTGAGCTTTAAACCCACCATTAAAAGTTTCAGCCACAAGCGTTTTCATTACTTTTATACAAACTGGAATAAGAAAATACCTCAAATCAACAATCCTGATGATTTGTTTAAAGTCTCAAAAGAATTCCTTAAATTTAGCGGTGTAAACTTAGCTAAGGATTTAGAATTGTTTTCTAAAATATGTGAAATAGGAGTTTGGGATTTAAATAGAAATCAAGAGAATGAAAGTAGGAAAAACGAATGGCTTCATTATTTCAGAAACTTTATTTTTCCAGCTATGCCATTGATAGAAGAGAATTCAATTATAATTGATAAGGCTTACTCCATTTTATCGTTTTATGATTCTGAAGATCGCTTTAATTTATACAGTGAGATGCATCAAGTGTTAGCGAAAAATAATCCATTGATAAAAATTGCGTACGGCAAGGCGGAGAAATCCACAAAAGATGTTTTAAAGAGGTTGTCCAAGGAGAATGTACGTCCTATGATGCGAAGACTAGCCAAGATCAGTTTCTCTAACCCGTTACCTTGTTTCTTAACTATTTTACAACAGATTGAAAGTTATGATAACTTAAATACCTTGGTTGTCGAGACTGCAAGATATTTTAATAATTATGGGTGGGATACGTTGACTTTGGCAATTTTAATGAGACTTACTGCTTCAGGGAGATCAAATATACAAGATGATGGATTGAATGAACGTCAATGGATTCAATCGTTAGCATCTTTTATTGGTAAGATTTGTCATCGCTATCCTAATGCAATAGATTTAAAAACATTGATAACATTCTTATTGAAATCTCTTCATAACAAGGAAAACGTTGGGTTAATTGTTTTGAGAGAGATATTTATATGTATGGGAGGTATCCAAACAATTGCTGATTTAACATTACGTCAGATTGATATGATTAACTGTGGTTCATCATTAGAAAAGGTAGTCTATAGAACAATCGATGATTTGCGGTTCGAGAGGTTCAAATCTGGTCACATATTAGTTAAAACTCTCGTGGAACTTGATGCTGTTAATGAACTATTAATTTTGCTCTGCCAATTAGGAGATGATATGTTGTTTAATTCTGATCAATCTCATTTGAAAGTCTTAGCAAATAAGAGTGACGATTTAAGTACGGTCATGCATCTTTTCACTCAATTAATTAATTTCTTCGGAAGTAGTGAAGATTTGGCTGAATTATTATTACCGGTTTCGGAATTTACTACGAAGTACCATGTACCGCCATCATTTGCATTTGAAATTTGGAGACAGACTATCAGTAAGAGGATTTTAGCAGCTACAGCTTCTGATGATATTTTCAATCCTGTCTTGAATGATATTATGAGTCAAAGCTCTCAAACTCTACCTTCGAAAGCCTGGGATTATTTATCAACTGGCTTGTACGCAACATTCTGGCAATTATCACTTTATGATATCAATTATACAGAAGACTTGTATGATGCTGAATTAGAGAAGTTAAAATCGAATATAAACAGTATCAAAGACACTCTTTTAATTAATAAAAGAAGCAGTGAGGTATCAAGAACATCGATAGATAGGTATAAGAAGGATTTAATACAAAATGAGGACTTTGTTTCAGTGATTCCAGAGGAAAACGAGAGTCACCTGAAGCATTATGAATTAATTTCCAAAAGATTAATCAAGGAATCATCACATTGGTTCACAATGGGTGGCATTGATAATATTAAGCTGCAAGTTCAATCCTTTTTCCAATATTGTCTCCTTCCAAGAGCAATTCACTCATCATTTGATGCAGCGTATTCAGCGAAGTTTTTATTTCAGTTGCATAAGGTGGAAGCTACTAACTTTTCTATTATTATTGCACTAAATGAACTAATTAAAAATAATATTTTATTTGGTACATTATTTACATCCACTCCGGCTGAGGCAGAAAATCTTGGTTTGTTTTTTGCTGAATTACTAAAGAGGTTGCATGAATGGTCAAACGAAAGCACGTTCAATACTGAAGCAAACAATTCAACGTTGTTTTCAGAAGCAGACACCACTCAAGAACTAACATACGACAGCTTTCGTAAATTATTGTTTGAATATCACGATATTATTTTGAAAGATGTTGGC